TAAATAAGTATATGGTTAAACTTACTATTTTCCAATCAATCATACAAAACAATTTTGCACATTATGGCAGTCGTTCCATTGTTAAAAGAGCAAGTCAAATATCTATATTTTCTTTTCAAAATAAATATCCATACTATAATGAGATATTTGTATCTACTCAAAGAAAGAATTCTAGCAATTTTGATTGAATGAACATATCACTCTATCATGATAATACTATCTTCCAAAATAGTTTTTATGCCTATTATAAGTAGAGGCGTAACCAGATGGAGGCTAGAGGGACTGTGCCATCTCTACGAAGACTTGAGCGCCTATACAAAACTTTTTATTCGCTATAAAGGAAAATACGTATCTCCAACTTTGGTACTTTCAACAGCGTCTATATGAAGAATTATCCAAGGTTTTGACTCCACTCTGTAAATTGGCGTTATCTACATCAGATGCATATCTGATTAGTGAATTAGAATGAACAGTTTTGTACTAGAAGATTGGAGCTGCTGTCACTTTAAGTAAGTGATATCTAGTGTCCTTAATATAAAAAAACACTTCAAGCTCTTGATATCATTGAAACTGAACATGTCCTTTCTAATGCAAAACATGCAAGATTTACATTAGATTTTTTAGGTTTTTTCAGGGTTCTTCTTTATCAAAAAATATATATGAATACTTGCTGATATGTATACTCTTTTTGAGCTTGGTAAATTCCATCTAATCATATAAAAATATCTATTGAATTACGTTGCAAACGGTCAATAAAATGATAATAGCTTTTCATGATATCTAAGCAATTTGAATTTCTTTTCAAGGGATAGTTCTGATCGCTCTTTATAAAATTATATATTCCCGTAAACTCGAAATATATGTATGTAGTATACAAAACGTCATGACAAAGAAAAGAGTCCAAACCTTCGAATCACTCTTTAGTTCATTGACAACATAATAAGAAATGAAGAACTCTGAAGATATTTTTGAGAAGCATATTTTTAAAGCTCAGTTTTCTTACATTATTGAAGAAGAAATTGATTTCATCAATCAGGTGAGTTAAAATATTCTTTTTTCTAATCGATAACTCTTTCCTTCATTTTGACTCTTATCAGGAATAAAGTTTCATTCTTTCATTTTTCGCATCCTCCTTCTATGCTTTTCGAATAACTATTCAAAGTCTAGCAACTTTCGGCGGCGGCTGAGAATCTAAGACAATCAACATCCTTTTGTGCTTGTCACTCGAAAAACGTAGCTTCCTTCAATATGGATTTATTTAGTTTTTTGACAAAGATATTTTATTCCTTTACGAAAAGTTGCGTCTCTGGCAGTATTTTGTTTTGTGAAACAAGTGTTAATTATTCTTTTTTACGATTATTTTGTCGTTAAAACTGAAGACTGACGTGAGAAAGAATTTTTACTACATGTTATCATCCGAACATCATTATAATAATGAAAAACAAAGTTATTTCGAATTTTAGGTATTGTTTATATTATTGATTGTTGTTATGTTCGGTTAAAAGTATTTAATCCCGAATTTGGTTTTGAAGTTTTAACAACATTACCAATAACACGTTCATCAGCATTACAACGTGTTGGGCGAGC